GTGAATGTACAGCGCTCTCTTCCACCCTCAATCCTATGACTAAGGTAAGACCCTTGAGCAAGGCACCGAACCCCCGGGTGCTGCAGCAGTATGGCTGCCAACTGCTCTGGGTGCGTGTTCACGGTGTGTGTATGCTAGGGGGATGTGCCGATATGAGTATCAGTACCGAATGGTTCACGGGGCAAATTCAAAATGGAAGTGATCATCCCTATCCTTGGAGTGGGGACTTTGGAGTGAGAAGGGAACGTGTGTGCCATTATGTATTCATTTGGAATGCACTGATTCGCTGATGGACACCGGCCATTTTATATTTTAAAAAGTTTTATATATTAGTTTTATATATTATATAGCATATTTTAAAAACTTTTTAAAATATAAAATGTATGTTTATTTGCAACAGTTATGCTAACAACAATAAAAAGACATTTATGACAGTAAAACAGCAACATCTGCTGACGGACACCGTGCTGCGTTGTCACGGGAACATGCCAGCCGTCGCTCGCTTTGCCAAGTGCATTCCAAACGACTACATAATGGCAGTGTGGGATTACAAATTTAAGAATCTGTTTAAAATATGCTGATCCTATGTTCTGACATAGCATCACATGAAAAACTAAGGTGAAGTCGTTTAGGGTAAATTGCATCGGACAAATGATTGTCTTAAGCAAGGTGTGGCAAGAGGTTCCTGTCTGTTCCTGTTCTCTTATTGTTAGTAAAATGAACCAGATTACTGAGACGATCACCTTTTGTTTGTAATGGCTCTTGGTGCCTCTACCCCAGTCTTTGAGTAGTTATGCTGATTGGATTAGGACTGTCAGATTGATTGGATTAGCACCTATGCATTTGAATGACACTGTTATGCTGATGAGATCAGGGCTGGAGAAATTCCAGTAACGGGCTGACTCCTGTATTGCATTTGTATGGTTTGTTTAGATTGTCGCCACCTCTACTGAATGAATCCCGCCCCCTTAAAATCCACATAAACTCTACTGTGCTGAGCTATAGTCAGACTTGGATGACTGCAGCAACGCACAGCGAGTCCTCAATAAAGAGTGACTTCTGTATGAAAGATATCCCAACGTCTCCTGGTTTCTGCTTCGACGAGGAAAAAGTTTCCTACAGCAGGCACATGCCCTGCTCACTCCAAAGTCACCACTCCAAGGGGATAGGGATGATCACTTCCATTTGGAATTTGCCCCGTGAACCGTTCGGTACCTATACTCGTATCGGCACATTCCTAATGTGTGCACTTGGATGGGTTAAATGCAGAGCACACATTCTGAGAATGGGTCACCATACTTGGCCACACGTCACTTCACTTTCAACAAACAAGGCAAGCCCTGAAAATTGATAAAGAAATAGTATTCGGACACTTATTATTTAGTGACATTAGATTATTAGTTAATTGCATTTGATAGATTATACTTTCAATAAAACATTTGCAATGGTTTTGTAAAAGCTGTTTTTATGCATGTTTGGCCTGAATCACCACCTTAAGGAGTTTTGAGCACTTTGAAACCGTGAATCATTTTGCGAAGCAGTTGGTTCAGTTGATTCAAAGCATGTATATATGTATACTGTATATTTTATATACATCTATATATATATATATATATATAATTTTATTTAACTATTAAGTTATTTCTTTAAAAGTGACATGACGTGTAGCCAGGTATAGTGTCCCATACTCAGAATTTGTGCTCTGCATTTAACCCATCCAAGTGCACACACACACAGCAGTGAGTAGTGAACACACACTCACACACTCACACACACACGCGCACACGCGCACACACACACCCACCCACCCGGAGCAGTGTGTGCAAAGAGATGTCTAATGCTATTTCATGCATTCTGACTTATTTACACTGCTCATCATGGAGAAAATGTCATCCAATTGGTGTCAGGACTCAAAAGAGGAGGACTATTGGGAGTTTACATTACTATAAATCTGGGCTCTCTGATCAAGAGTGTGCCTTTGCCACTTGAAAATAAAAGAGGTAAGTCCCAGGGTGGTTATGCTACTGAACTTTATTAATTAAATTCAAATGAAATAACGTGTTGAAATGTACAGTTTGTAATTTATCTTTATTTTTTACTTTGGTATTAATAATATGTCAAAATTATTATATTGTTAATTTGTTATTTGTGAGAATGATAGCTATTAGAAAAATTATTTAAGAACCTACACTGTTAAAAATAAAGGTGTTTCAAAAGGTTCTTCAAGCGATGCCATAGAAGAACCATTTTTGGTTCCACAAAGAACCATTCAGTCAAAGGTTCTTTAAAGAACTATCTCTTTCTTGCGTTTTTGTAATCTGAAGAACCTTCTTTCGCCACAAAGAACGTTTTGTGAAACAGAAAGGTTCTTCAGATGTTAAAGGTTCTTTATGGAACCATTTAGACAAAAAGGTTCTTCTATGGCATCGTGAAGCACCTTTATTTTTAAGAGTGTATACTGTCATTATGATTAATGACAAGAGTAATATTTCTTTATACATAAACAATAAAGCTTGTTTGGAAGTATCAGCAGCTAATATTTTTCTTTTTTACAGAACGGTGAATCGGAATTGTGTAAATGGATGCCCCAGTCAACATCAGCCAAATAGCAATCTGGGAAAAGCCTGTTCTCTGTTATGAGTTTAGTAACAGGTCTTGTCAGCAGTTTGTCTATCCTTTGGAAACTCGAATATTACTCTACATCCTTTTTAGCGTTTCTTCAATTGTCACAATCATAGGAAACCTGCTTGTGATCATAACGGTCATTCATTTCAAGCAGCTTCACACACCAACTAACTACCTCATCCTGTCTCTGGCCGTGGCCGATCTGCTTGTAGGAGGAGTTGTGATGCCTCCCAGCATGCTGCGCTCCATCGAGACGTGCTGGTATCTGGGAGATTTGTTCTGTAAAATACACAGCAGTCTTGATGTGACATTATGCACTGCGTCAATATTAAATCTATGTATAATTTCTTTAGACAGATATTATGCCATATGTCACCCCTTTCAATATCACAGTAAAATGACATCACTTGCTACACTAGTTATGATTATTATCTGCTGGAGTGTTTCAGCTGCTCTGGGGTTTGGCATGATCTTCATGGAGCTTAATATTCTGGGCATTGAGGATTTTTACTATGACAACATTGACTGTGATGGAGGCTGCTTTGTCTTTCAGAGTAAAGCTGGAGCTACTATATTCTCACTGATCTGTTTTTATGTTCCTGCTTTTGTCATGCTCTGTGTGTACCTCAAGATCTTACACGCAGCTCAACGGCAGGTTCAGGCCATCCAGAGTG